CTGCTACTCATTTTCCACTTCAGCCGTCATTATTGAAGTCTGTTCAAACCGTCGTGCAATGTTGTTTGCAAGTTTCGCTCTGATATTCATTTAACATAATGCTTTCCATTTGATTCACTGATTGCTTCTGCCACCAGATCGTCGCATGGCACTCCGTTTCTCAGAGCGTAGCGTGCCAACAAGGTGGCGATCGGTTAACTGCTCTGCGCCTCTCGTTACGCGAACATCCATTACAGAGCATCGTAGTCAGAGACTACGTTGATTAAATCGATCGACTTCAGTGCACAGCTTCCCGCTAGCAGGTATACTGATCAACGCTTCGATGCTCGAAGATTTTTTGATGGGCATATGCTTCTCAAATAAAATATCGCCAATATTCCACCAGTCATGTAGTGGGCTACGTCTAAACTCCATATCATTAAGGTACCTTCTGATGCGTTGAGATAATGGAGTATAAACAGAAAATTACCATCGGTCCATATGGAATGGGCATTATTAGATTCGAGATGAGGGGTAAAGTTCTTCCTCAAGGGACCTCCTTCGGCAACCGTTTTTAGAAACGTCTGATGCAGCGTGTGACAGCAGCATTGTGACGAACGGCTTTTAAATAATGCGAATCACACTCACCTTCAAAGAGAAACAGTTACACGCTTTCAGTACCAATATTTTGTTTTAAAATTTTTCAGCTTGTATCTCATGAAACGTTTTCACGGCAATATGGCTGCTGCTGTCTGAAAGGCAAACAGCTAGAAAACTTTCAGCGATAAGAATCTAAATGTCCGAAGTCATGTCTAAAGGTTCTGATAGTAGCTCACTTCGGTGCTCAGGAGGGTTAGCAATGAACGAGAAGCAGGAATATTCTGCGCGACAAGAACCAAAATCGCAATCTAACAGTCAACAATGCATTGTAGCCATTTTTGTTTCGCTGTCCTCAGTTTAAGTAAATTATTCCATGTCAATTTCTTAAAACAATATATGTCATCCAGTGTGAAATAATGCTGAGTTCAAATAAGAAACAAAAAGTTCAACAGAAAGAAGGTCGATAAAATAATCAATGATTTTAATATTCAACATTTAATTTTTGAAGACAGTATTAAATAAAATATTTTAGGCTGTGAACGCCAGCTTATTCACCAACCTGCAGTTCATTGGCATCAGCGGGCCTACTTTTGACGACTTGCCACC